TGTGGGGGGTACGACCTCGGATACCCACGGCAGACTACATGGGCTGCGCCCCAGGGATGACCCAGCCCACAAGACAAAGCCTTGCGGAGCACGGCGCTGCTCGGCGCACTCCGCGAGACACCGGAAATATATCCTGAAGATACTATGAGATCTGTTAGGATACGTATGATCCCATGATCCCTGTAATCTGTTATTACTTTCTGGTTATCTCCTAGATCTAACCGACTTGTAACCCTGCCCTCAGACTATATAAGGCGGGCAGGGACACCCTCAAAACACACGCAATATCATACAATACAACAAAGACACAGGACGTAGGGTATTACGTCGATCAGACGGCTCGAACCTGTCTAAACCGTTGTCTCTGCGCCTTGTGTCACCATCCGGTTCCTATCACGCGCACCTCTACCGATCAATCTATCTTCGTAGAATATCCCTCGAAGGACTGCCAAGCATCTTTTGTCGACAATTAACGCGTCAGGTAAGAATGTGCGTGCTATTTCCATATCGAACGAGATGGTACGTTTTGCACCCAGTAGAACTACATGCATTAGTGGTCTCTGTAATACATCAGCGTAGATTGTAGAAAAATTGGTAAAAAAACATGACTTAGCTGCAAATAACAATAGAAACGTATGAGATTTGGAATAAGAACTACATCAAACCAAATAAATCATCGTACCCATGATTTGGATCTTAAATAAGCTAGCTGACGATGGACAACAAATGCTACTGAAAATTGCAGCAGATATGAAAAATAGAACAATAAGGTTTACCTGAAAAAGTGCCAGCACCGGCGAAATTGGTTGCTGACGACCGTTGGTTTGCTTGTTGACCGAGAAACGTGAAGAGATTAGCGGTCTGTTCGGTTGGCTGATTCGTTTCGTTGCTGGTTCGTGAAGAAGTACTGCTGACTGGTTTATGTGAGAGAAAAATACTGTTTCGGCTGGGAATTTACGATCGTTTACGACAAGCCACGACCAAACGAATAGCCTGTTGGTTTCCTAAAGATGAGAGAGAGGTAGAGAGAGAGGGGTCGAGAGTAAGGGAGAGAGAGGTAGAGAGAGAAAGGTAGAGAGAGAGCGGTAGCGCGGCGGCGCGGCAAGGTGGAGTTAGGTGATGGTCTGGCGGCGGCAGCGGAGATGTCAGGCGGGAGAAAAGAAAACGCGGACGGTAGCAGAAAGGGAAAGGTGAATGAGTCAGATTAGGGCCTTGTTTAGTTCGCGTTTAGAAATCAGTATTCGGCACTGCAGCACTTTTGTTTGTATTTGACAATTATTGTCCAATCATGGTCTAACTAGACTCAAAAGATTCGTCTCGTAATTTACAATTAAACTGTATAATTAGTTATTTTTTTATCTACATTTAATACTCCATACATGTGTCCAAAGATTTGATATGATGGAGAGAGAACGAAAAAACTTAGAATCTAAACAAGACCCAGAAAGACAAAGGGAAAGTGGTCAGATGTGTCAGACCAAAATATGGGGTTCAAAAAAATGTTCAAAACACAAATACGATGCATACACTACTTGTTGGTCTAAAAAAACCGGCACAGATCTCAATGCAATACCAACGGTCGCATGTGTAGGGGCATGTGCCCTTAAGGGCAGAATTTCCGCGTCCAGGTTGTCCCTGGCCTCTATTTTAGGGCGCCTCACGGCTAGGCAACAGAGCAGGTTACGGTACGGAGCTAAACGGTTGGATCAGTCAAGCAGCGCTCTAGTAGTCTACGGAGCAAGCAGGTTAAGCACTCACCAGAGTTCAGAGGAAAGGCAGAGTAGTAGCAGTAGTATCAGTTAAGCTGAGGGAGCAGAGGAAAGACTCGCTACGAGGCGGGCTTTCAGACTCACCGGAGTTCAGTGGGATTTTAATCTGACGCCTTCTTGATTTTTACTGTTTTGTTGCTTTTGTGGGCCGGTTGCCTAGGCGGAAAGGTCGAATCCACAGGCTTCACGAAGCCCAATTGTGCCGTCTAAGTATGTACTGTGCTGTTTTTTATTGTTGTCTAACAAGCACGATAATCAACAATAACTGGGCTACACAGGATGGTAAAAGACACCGTTTGAAAACTGCGGAGTAAAAGACAGATTAAATTTAGAAAGGCCAAAAAATGCAAATCTCATAACCCATACTGCAAATGCAGGTTCAGGTATAGGTGGTAACCATTACAGGCAAAACACACCATCAGGCCACACCATCTCACAACCAACCATGTCAGGTCAGAGAGATCTGCAATGAGATCTGAAAACATACAAGATTCATCGCTGATACACAGCCGACACATTTTGTTTCCATCGACATGGACATTAGGAAATCTTTCATTATTTGGTTCATTCGATGCACGGGCATCATCTCTAGAACCGTTCAGTAGAGGAGTAGAATCTGATAGTCCTTGCGCATCTTTTGGCTCTAGTGGGATCTCTTCAGCGAAGTACAGAGTAATAGACATACAAAACAAAAGAAATACCTGCAAAATTCAGCTTGCTAAGCTTTGGCATACACAGTCCTTAAAAGGGCATAGAACATCTACGAAGGATCCTTAGTGCATAAGTACTAGCTTCAAATTCGAAGGGCAGATACAGAATTTCTGAAAACTTACAACTGCAACTAAGAAAGCTGCTTTCAAATTACCATAAGCTTCACAGCATGCTCTTGTCATTAGAAAAGGAAACCACCTGCACAAAGAACAAGCAGGCAAGCTCAATTCTCATAAAGAAGTAGATTTTGTTGACTAGGGAGAGTTTGGGAGAAATTATATGTGAACTTGATGGACCAAGAAGCGCCTAATAAGAGGACCAAATGTCAAAAGATGGCATGAAGAGCTATACATGCCATCATTTTTTTATAAGCTTATCTGACTATGCGAGGATTTTCATCATGAAAACGAAAACTAGAAAGGTAAGAGAGCAAACTTACGGGATTGCAAGTTTCCTCTACTACTTTTACAGAATAACAACAGCAATAGAGCCAAACTTTAAAGAAACAACAGCAAAAAACTGCTCACTGGCACCAAATTATTAAAACAACCCTAAAACAAAACAATCTGTGACTAGTGATCAAATTAAAAAAAACAAAAACAATAAAAAAATCCAACTGGAGGCCAAATTATAAAAATAAAATTGATCCCTAGTTATACAAAAATGACTACCAATAAGGGTCAAACTTAAAAAAAATGTGAAAGGGATCAAATTAAAAAACAACAAAAACAAAAAATAACATCTAGAGGCCAGATTATATAAAAAAAATACATACAAAAAGGGCTACCAATTAAGGGTCAAACTTAAAACAAAAACAACAACAAAAAAACTACTAATTGGGCACCAAATTATAAAAAAACAAAAAAAAAACAGGCAATGAACTAGGGATCAAATTTAAAAAGAAAACAACAACAACAAAAACAAAAACAAAAAAACTACCAACTGGAGGTCAAATTATAAAAAAAGGCCTACCAATTAAGGGTCAAACTTAAAGGAAATAACATAAAAAAACTGCTAACTGCGCACCAAATTATAAAAAACATCCCTAAAACAAAACAAGCTGTGAACTAGGGGTCAAATTTAAAAAGAAAACCCCAATAAAAAACAACAATACAATACAACAAGCTTCCAATTGGGAAGATAAATTTTAAAAAAAACCCCAAAACAACAACAATACAATACAAAAAGCTTCCAATTGAAAAGATAAATTAAAAAAACAAGAAAAAACAATACAATACAACAAGCTTCCAATTGGGAGGAAAAACTTAAAAGAATAACCCCAAAGAAACAACAATACAATAAAACAAGCTGCCAACTTGGGAGGTTTAAAAACAAGCCCAAAAAAACAGCAATATAACAAAATAAGCTGCCCATATCCTCTCTCTCTCTGGAGATTAAACAGCCCAAACAATAGCAACAAAAAAAAGAGCCATCCATAAGAGTTGAGAACATAACCATGTGTTGGTTTGAAAAACCAAAGAGAAAGGACACAAAAAAAGAGCTGAGAACATCAACACCACTTCAGCATTAAAAAAAGAATAAGGTGATACATATGTGGATTCATTTTAGCCACCACTTCAGCATGAAGCAAAAACTGAAAACGCAAGACGGTGCAGTGAAGGAAAAAGAGAGCCTTCTGCTTTCAAAGCAACCTATACAATCATAATCACTTTAAGACCAATTTCCATAGATAAAGTAAAAACTGCATACCGAGTAAATAACAAATCTAACCTGCAGTCCAATGCTAGTATAGACTAATTGATAATTCAATCATTTGAAATCTTGTTGTGAAAAGAATGTTATCCTTTTAGTTGTGGGTTGGATTTTCATATGAATATAAATACGACGATGTTGGTGCTTAGTAGCCAAATCCTGATCTAAATACCACTATATTTCTATAAATTCTTACCATCCATTACATGAATTGAGCAGCCAACTCTTGTTGCAAGTACACATTTTATTTCTATTTGAATTTGAATTATTGTCATCTATTACATGAATTCTCTCAAATGAGCACTATTATTTCCCAAAGTTTTCCACGTATTTTCATTTTTTATAGGCACTGCATGACGCAGGTGCATGTCTACTAGTATGCAGTAAAAGTCTTAAACTTTGACGACCATCATAAGGAAAAGCTCTTTTTAGTAGATCTGTTACCAGAAGTACTTACAATTTCGAGAGAAAATTATGCTGCATGTCAATGGCTTAATGGTATTACTTAGTACTAAATACTAGTACTTCGTGCGCCGTGGCCCTTAGTAAATAGAGCAAAAAAGATTCAGGATCCATATGCTATGTTACTTTTTAGATAAATAAAGGAATAGCCTTTACTCTGCTGTGCTATCAGATGAACTGACCAAGCAACCATTCTAATTGACATTTGATGCATCTAGCAGGCTAGCAGCTATGAGATGACTTTGAAATTTATCCAACAGACTGATGCATTCTCTAATTTATCAAAGCGTTTTTTCTTTCCGAAAACATTTTGCTACACAGATTCTCCCTGATTGGAATGACCTTTCACTTTTTGTCGGAGAATACCATAAAAGTTAACACTGACTCCTCCGTCTCTACTTGAAGGATGAGAACGCCCTTGCTAACCAAATTCAATAACCACCCAAGCTTTTGTGGAAAACAACAGTACATCCAGATCAAGGATTGGAGCTATAGCGCCGAACCCCCTCCCCTGGGCCTCGAGAAGATGATGTCGAGATCCACGAAAACAAACAAACAATTAATGAAATACTACTTGTTGGATTGGAGGCAAACCTACCTCACTGACACGGCCCAAAACCCTGCCGCCGCGGTCTAGGGGTAGGGTGTCGTCGGAGGCGAGTGCGAGACGAGCAGGGCCGCAAACGCCGCCGTCGCTAATTTTGGGATGGCCGGACGCACAGCGATGGGAACGGCCGACGCTGCCAAAAATGCCCCCGCGCAGGGGCGAGGGCACATCCGACGATCTCCATAGGTGGGCCAGATGTACGCCGCAGTGGTCTGGTCCGTGTTGCCCGCCCTCCGCCGCCCTCGACGTGCTGAGCAAAGCCGCCACCGCCATGGCTCCTTAGTCCTTCCTATCGTCACCACCGCTCGGAGTCGGACTGAGGGGGATTTATGCGAAATTAAATTTTAGGTTGTTGTGTTCAGTTCCGATGCTCTTTGAATTTTTTAACATTATTTAGATTCGTTTTTTTAAGGCCTGTTCAGCAGTAAAATGCACCGGCGCCCTTAATCTAAATCCTTAACTTGGCACGTGGGTCACAGGTTCAAACAGTCCCAAACTTGACCTGTTTGCTGACGTGATGGTCCACGCTGGCACCAGCGATGTCAGACCAACCCCTAATTTTAGCAGAGCTTGTCATTTAGATCCTTAAACTTTCAAAATGCACATCTGCGTATATGAACTAGGCCCACACTACTTCATAAGTCTGGTATCCGTATTTGTCTTAATGTCAATATAGATATTCGTATTCATATTTGATTAATCTGGATACCAAGTGGATGTATCCGTATACGATTTCTATAATTTTTCTCTATCCAATTTCATATTCGTATTGCAAAAAAAAGTAAAATACCTGACATTATCCGTATATGTAAATAACAAAGTGCTCTGTAAAGTCACCTAAAACTTGTATCTATGACTAATTAGTAATGTATACATATAATATCAATTTTAATGTAACAAAAAATATGCATCATTTAAACTATTGAAAACTAATCTATGTGACTAATAATATTATTATTAATGATATATAAAGGTTAGTTTTAATATGGCTAATCATATTAATTTTATGTACTTTAATTATTCATATATTGGTGAAATTATTTTTATATATTTTAAACTATTTATTGATAAATATTATTTATAGTTTTACTATTATTATATATTTAGTTATTGAAATGTTTATTATATATGTTATTTTTTATATATTTTAAACTATGTATGCAAATGTGCATTTGAAAGTTTAGGGACCTGGATGATACATTCTGCTAAGTTTAAGGGTTGGTCTGGCACTGCTGGTGTCAGCGTGGACCGCCATCAGCAAACGGGTCAAGTTTGGACATATGACGTACCATGTGCTAAGTTGAAGAACACGGATGTGGATTTTAGGAGTGTGACGAGGACTTAGATGACACCCTACGCCAAATTTAGGGGGCCACTGTCCCAATTTACTCTCAGATATTATCCAACTCCATCTAATGGCTACTATCCAGTTTGAAGCGATCTCTTAGTTGCATGAGATGGACTTTCGAAGCCACCTTTCTTCTTTTATAATATATATGACATGTAGCTTGTATATAAGCATAAGCAACAGCAAACTCAACAACCGCTGGGCCTAAATGACCTTCCAGTTCCAGGCCAGCTGATTTCACACAAATTCACACGGACATCAGCCACATCTTCATGCATGGTCATGAGAAGATACATTGGATCAGCTTGCTCGCTCGTTATTGTGTTCATTCATCAGACTTCAGACTACTACTAGTTCGTTCCATTGGATCAGGACGACAAGTGTATGTGAGCGAGCACTACTAGTTGTACTAAGCTGCTGGTGATCCACATCCACTCCTTGCTTCTTGCATCCGCCGCAGATGACCTGAGCTGCTAGTTGCCGCCGCCGGGGACGTCGTAGGCGCACTGCTGCACGGTGACCTGGTCGATGGGCAGCGTGTCGGTCGGGAACGGGCAGGCGCCGTCGTGCGCGCCCTGGAGCGGCTCGCACGGCGCCGGGCTGACGTTAACCGACACGCCCTCGACGTCGGCGCACGTCCAGGGGTACTTCCTGGACTTGGACAGCTCGGCGGTGACGTTGGCGACGCAGATGCCCCGGAACGGCGCGCCCTGGATGCCCTCCAGCCGCGTCCTGGTAGCTGATGCTGTCCACGACGGGGATGGCGTTGGGGTCGTACTTGTCGTCCGGGTGGGACTTGTAGTTGCCCGTCATCCAGAACACCCACTTCATGGTGGTGAGCGTCATCCGCCGCACGAACACGTCCTTCACGTACGCGCCACGGCCCACGGCGGTCTTGATGCGCACGCCGGACTCGGAGTTGATCGCCGTGATGTCCTCCGCGCGCACGTCCTGGATGCCGCCCGACATCTCGCTGCCCAGCGCGATCACCGTACGAGATCTCGTCGGGGACACGCACGTCAGCCGACGGATCACGATGTGCTGGCTCGGCAGACCGTACGAGATGCCGTACTCGTCCCACCCGCTCTTGATCGCCACGCAGTCGTCGAGGATTTATTCCGTCTGTACCTAAATATTTATCGTTTTCATTTAGCGAGAAACAACTTTGACTAAATATATATAAAAAATTAATATTTATGATACATAACTAATATCATTAGATAGATATTTGAATCTAGTTTTATAATAAATTTATTATTTGGAGATACAAATATTATCGTATTTTCTACAAAATCGAGTCAAACTTTCGATATGGAAACTAAACTGCGACAGTTAATTGGAGACCGAGGAGTAGTTACTGTAGTAGCAAGGAGGGCATTACCATAAGTCAAAAGTTTTGGTAACCACAAACAGAGTTACGATAAAGTCAAATAAGATAAGTGACGAGAACCCAGTGATCCTAGAAGAGTAAATTACTATAGCAGAGATGTAGGGCCTATTCGCTTGTCTAAATTATGGAGGAATCTGAATGGTTTGGAAGAATGCTGGAAGAATTTATGAGAAAAAAATACTGTTCCGGATGAAAAAATAAGCGGATCAAGCCAAGTTTAAGGGCACGCGAACGGGCCGTAGTTTACGATAGAATTCAGATATTTATTGGAACTGTATAACATGAAATAAGGATTTACTAAAATAATAGCAGGTCGACGTCCATAATTATGGTTAACCCACAAAGGTACCGTAAGTCAACAAAGATGACTTTCATACTAGATACGCATATATAAGGATTTACAGAATTCTTCAAAAAAAAAGGATTTACAGAGTATGAAGTCCATACATAGTTACCATAGGTCAACTAAGATTCGTGGAAGACATACCAGAAGGAAAACTTACAAGAATTCAGTTATCCCTAGAAGAGTAAATTACTAGTACACTATAGATGTAGTTATGATATAGTTCAAAAAAGTTTTAAAAGAAGGTAAATTACACATTAAAAAATATAAAATAAAAAATACATAATATTCTATTATGATTCTTTCATCGCCTTCTTCCCCAATGGCTTCCCTTAAACGTCCGAAGCTAAAAGTGCACTCCTTATGCAGAATCCAAGGACCACCCAAAATATTGGACATGCCGTAAGATTCAACACTTCAGAACTAGTCTAAAACGCATCTAAATTACTGAAAGAATATTGGTAGTTGCATCGTCGTGTACGACATAGGCTGCAGATTCGTCACCTCGAGACCTTGAATTCCTCTCTGCGACCATCGACGATGAGATGGATGAGACCCATAGCCGTTGTCCTTGTAGGGAGCTCCCAGAAGCACCCCTCCCCTTGCAGATAAAGGCCATAAATTGGCTGCATGTCGATGAAATCGACGACTGCAACGACGATCTCGTCTTGCCAATCACTGAAGTCATCGCAGGAAACACGATCCCAACTGGAAATCGTCTTATTTCATCGGAAGATTTATTAGACTAAACCCTAAGCAACTAGATCAAAAAACTACAGGGAAAAAGGATAGGGCCCTCCCATTCTTGTCCCTAGCAGACACACCGGAGAGGAAGAAGGAAAGGGGCCCTAGGAGCGGCGGCCGTGGCGAAAGCGAGAGTTGCGGCAGCAGCGATTGTGTCTCTCGATGACGGCGGCTTCCGTAAAGGCTGATATAGTTCATCTTTTTGTTTTGATACTACAATTATGTAACATGAATATAATTATTTACTAGAATCGCAAGGAGTCAAAGTTAGGGAACTTGAATTAGCAAAAGTCCACCGACTGAGAGGTACGACGAGATTATTATTGGAGAGTGACCGACCGTGCGTTAGGCCAGCCGCCCACATGACCAGCAGCTCCTCTTCTTCCTCCCGCCGCCCGCTTGCTTCTTCTTCCTCCCGTGGTCCCACCACCCCACCGTCGTGGTTCGACCGCCCTACCAGGGCGAGCAAGGGTTTCGCCGCCGCGAAGCTCCGGTGAAACCCTAGCTCATCCGCTGTAAGGTCGAGATGACGAACTAGAGGGGGTAAATAGTCCTTTCTAAAAATAATCGCGTCGGCTAACCGAAACAAGTGGAGAATTAAAACTATCGGTCTAACCAAGACTACACCCCTCTATCTATGTTCTCTAGCACCTTTCAAAGATACTAATTATGCAACAATGGTGCCAGTCTAGCTAGAGCTCACCAATCCAATTCTAGGAGCAAGGTTACATAAACCTATGACACTAATATTTCAAGCAACGAGAAAGCTCCTACACATGCTAGTAAGCAAAAGCACAAAGCCAACTAAGCTTACTAGCAATGCTCAATAACAAGGCAACCAATGCCAAATTAGAGAGCGCAAATACTTAGCTACACAAACTAAGCAATGTGATTAACAAGATTACACAAACCAAATTAGCCACGCAAGGGAGATACTTCTATGCTACACAAGCAAGAAGGTAACTAGTGAGCTACACAAGCTAACTAATTACAAGAGTAACTATACAAGCACAATGTATATGAAAGTAACCACAAGCTTGTGTAAGGGGATTGCAAACCAACAGGAAGAACAATGTTGACACAGTGATTTTCTCCTGAGGTTCACGTGCTTACCAACACGCTACGTCCCCGTTGTGTCGACCGCTCACTTAGGGTTCGGCGGCTAATTGGCATCACCCGCCAAGCCCGCACGTCGGGTGCCATAAGAACCTGCCCCAAAAGTGAGGGTAGCTCAATGACACGCTTTACTAGAGTTGCTCTTCGCAGCACCCGCGGGGTGAGCACAATGCCCCTCACAAAACTCTTCTCCGGAGCACCGCACAAGCTTCTTGCGGGCTTCGACGGAGACCACCACCAAGCTGTCTAGGAGGTGGCAACCTCTAAGAGTAATAAGCACTATCGGCTTCCAACTTGATCACCTAGTGCCGCTCGATGCAACCTCACGATGCAATCGCACTAGAATCGCTCTCTCACACAATCAAATGATCACTATCAAGCATGTGTGAGATAGAGGGCTCCCAAGCACTTTCAAGCATGGACACAAAGTCCCCCGAGGTGCTCAACACTTGCCATGGCCGAGACCACCTTCTATTTATAACCCCATGGGCTAAACTAGCCGTTACCCCTTCACTGGGCAAATTTCGGGACCACCGGACGTGCAGGTCGTTTGCACCGGACGCACCATTCGTGTATACTGGACGTGCCCGATCGCCATACCAGACGCGTCCGGTAGCTGCCTGAGCGCCACGTGTCCCATTTCAAACTAGCCGTTGCCTCCAACGGCTCTCTGACATGTTCGATCGGGCGCGCTATTCGAAACGACCGGACGCTGAGCCGCAGCGTCCGGTCGAGGCCAGTAAGCTCCCAGGGCCGACCGGACGCACTATTAGAAAATGACCGGACGCTAAGCCTCAGTGTTCGGTCGAGTCCAGTAAGCTCCTAGGCTCGACCGAACGTGTTCGGTCACTCCGGACCGGACGCTCCCAGCGTTCGATCAACTGTTACACTGAACATCGACTTCGCTGATTCACACCGGACGCGTCCGGCCGCTAACACTTAGTCGCTCACCTCAGGTCCAAATATCGAACGCGTCCGGTCGTCATACCGGGCGCGTCCGATCACTCCTGTCTGAACCCGAAGTCTAGATAGAATACCGGACACGTCCGGTAGCCACACCAGACATGTCCGGTCACTCTGTGACCAGCACGACTAACTTCTTTTCTTCACCAACTTCTTCTCCTTTGTAAATATGCCAACACCACCAAGTGTACACCACCATGTGTATGTGTGTTAGCTTTTCACAAACATTTTCTAAAGGATTAGCCACTCAACTTGCCACGCCACTCGATCCTAGCGACGATGCAAATTAGATCACTCGAGTGGCACTAGATGACCGATATGCAAACAAGTTTGCTCCTTTTGATAGTACGGCCATCTATCCTAAATCCGGTCATAAACTTCTCTACACACCTATGACCGGTGAAATAAAATGTCCTAGGTTATACCTTTGCCTTACGCATTCCATTTCATCTTCTCCAATGTCGATGCAACACATGCACCAACATGATCAACAATGATATGATCCACTTCATATCATCATGTGATCATATTGGTTCATCGATCTTGACTTCACTTGCTTTTCACCGTTGCCTTCGTCCATCGGCGCCAAGTCTTGCTCAAGCTTCACCGCCACGCGGTCCATTGCTCCAAAGCCTCCGACTTGCCCTTCACGTTTGCAACCGGTCCATCAAGCTAAGTCATGTCTTGATCTTCTCCACCTTGATCACGTGACTCAATGCCATGTCTCATGTGCAATAAGCTCCTTCATCATCACATGTGTGAGCTTTGCAATATCTCCGTGCCATTTTCACCTTCATGGCATATGTTGCTCACACACATATACCTGTGGACTAATCACCTGTGTATCTCACATAAACACAATTAGTCCACCTAGGTTGTCACTTAATTACTAAAACCACACAAGGACCTTTCATCCGCGGTGCCACCTTCTTCCCCTCCCCCTCTTGGCGCCGCCATGGCCATGCTTGCTGGCTAGCACTACTGCGACGCCCCTAAATCGCCCAGTTGCAATCCCCATCGCCTGGTCGGCCTTCTTCCCCCCAAACCCCTTCTTCTTTTCCCGTCGAAGTTCGAAAAGAAGGGGGTAGGGCGCAGTGAGGGCATGGAGGCGGCCGTTGGGGAGGATCAGAGGCCGCCTAACACATGCCGTGGTGGAGGCCGCTATGAATCTGAAAGAGAGAGAGAGAGGTGGAAGAGGGGCACGGGCGTGGAGGGAGACAGGGGAGTGGCTTCTTTGTTCGATGAACCAACAAATAGGAGTATTGTAATGTTAATCTATCTTTTAATAGTACCCCTATTAGTATGTACAGATATATTTTGTGTTTTTAATGATCGATACATTGTTCATGGCATCAATGAAGACAGAGCCTGTTTGGTAAAGATTCACCACTAGAAAAAGTGAATTTTGATCTA